CAGGTACGTGAGAGAGAAGTGATCTGTTACAGATGTTGCATCGCTGACTGTACGTGGGAGAGAAGTGATCTGTTAAAGACTGCAGGGGATGTTGTGTCACTGACTGTACGTGAGAGAGAAGTGATCGGTTATTTACTGCGGGGAATGTTGTGTCACTGAGAGGTCTGGTGTTGCGTCGCTGACTGTACGTGAGAGAGAAGCGATCTGTTACAGAATGTGGGATTTGCATCGCTGACTGTACGTGGGAGAGAAGTGATCTGTTAAAGACTGCAGGGGATGTTGTGTCGCTGACTGTACGGGGGAGAGAAGTGATCTGTTAAAGACTGCAGGGGATGTTGTGTCACTGACTGTACGTTGGAGAGAAGTGATCTGTTAAAGACTGCAGGGGATGTTGCGTCACTGACTGTACGTGGGAGNCGAGCCCCTATCGCCCCCCTTTCACCCTCTTCTTCTTTACCGCCCCCCAAAATCTTTCCATCGCCCCTAGGGGGGCGATATCGCCCACTTTGGGAACCACTGATGTAGAGAAAACATTTAACACCTGCTTCTTCCAATCCTTACAATGTTTAAAATCTGATTAAAGTCGTAGTACGAGTCCTACAAATAGAGTAACATTAGTAATAAAATAATGCGATAGGTTCGATAGGTAAACTAAATAATTGCTATGAAAAAATTCTCAACCTGATTTTTAACGGCTAATGGAAAAAAAGGCATCATGAATCATATTGATGTGTTAGAAATAAATTCAAGAATCAAATTCGACGATGAACCATTAGTAAGTTAGTTTTCTTATCAGATTCAATGCGTTATAAAAAATAATGTCGCATGCGATTAGTGAGATTAATATCTCAATATTTCAACGACTTAATGGACCTGCATCGACTTACAATAACAGAAAAATAAATATTTTCTTTAATAGTTTTTTTAATCGCAAGGTAATCAAGAATATCAAATATAAGAAAACTTCGAACAAATTCACAGTTTTCACGTTTTCGATGAAGACATTTTCTTCATCATATTTTCTAGTATTTCTGTTGCTTTCAAATTCTTGACAATACAACAAGAGGAAATCACGTGGTAAGCAGGATTATTCAACACTAAGCAATACACTTTTCTTCATCAAATTTTCTAGTATTTCCTTTGCTTTTAAATTCTTGACAATACAACAAGAGGAGAGCACGTGGTAAGCAGGAGTATTCAAGCTGTCTCTTATACACATCTAGATGTGTATAAGAGACAGAGTAATGAGATTGTAAAACATAATGGAGAGTTGTATCGAAAACCAAATGGCGATTTTAACTCGGGAAAGTAATGGTTTTATTAATGCAATCTTAATTTTTTTCAAATCTAATCTTATCAGTTCAATGAGTGTAACGGGCTGCTTATGGGTATTTAAATAATCGACATTGTATTTAGTATACGAATGATTTATGATTTTTGGGAAATAGAACTGGAATTATCGCGATTATAGAGTAAAGTCCTCGTATATGATTTTCATTTAATGGAGGCTATCTGGCCCCACTAGCCATGGGTCGAGAAGATAGTATTCAATGATACCTTGCAGGCCAAGTCATACTTACACTCAAAGTCATCAAGCACGGACTATGTTGATTCAATAACATAAATAATACACTTATAAATAAGATAATTCAGATTACTTTGAGCTCTAAATAATTTATATATTCGAGACGGATGTAACTCATGGTGATGGCCTTTTCATGCAACAGTTTAGTAAGCTGTCTATATTCAAATAAACATCATATGCATTACTTACATGAGGCAGCTCGATACTAATTATGATCATGTACTAGGCCTGTATATATGTTCATATATTGCTCTTATATATAGCATAATTGGTCAAATATTGTCGCTAAATAAAACGTGAAGCACTCACGTGCGGCCGTAGTTGAGGACGTCGAAGGCGGTATCGTTGCCATCGATGAGGCTGTAGGTCGCCGTGTTGCACGAGCTCGCCAGCTGCATCACTGTGAGGTACTTGTTGTGCTCGTACCACAGCCCGCTGTACTGTAGTGGTACTTTGTTACAACACAGTACTTGCAGTACTCGTACCACAGCCCGCTGTACTCGTACCGTAGCTTGTTAGTACCTCAGCTCGTTGTACAGCAAAGTTATAACTGACAGAGCACAGCTTGGATCTGTACTATTTGCATTACCAAGCAAACCAATTATATTTCATACAATTTTAAGAAGTTTCTTCTTTCGTGATTCTCAATGGCTTAATTTTAGGTAAACTAGTCTCATTGCTCCGCTGAAAACCCAATTTTTCATAAACGAGAATTTTTTGATATACTAGGAAATGTAGGGAGTTAAACAAACTATTTTCAGAAGCACAACGCTTGGAAACGTATATCAATGTAGAGCAGTGGTTCCCAAACTTTTTCAGACTGGCGCCCCCTTTGGCTCCCTAGTGAATTTCTAGCGCCCCCCACAGACACACATAAAACCATGCGACTCTTTCTATAAAGTTTAGTACGCTGCAATTTTAAAAGATATAGGTTAAACACAAATGTGTATTTCACAAATAGAACCCATATTAGTGTGTACTTTGTTACAACACAGTACTTGCTGTGCTCGTACCACAGCCCGCTGTACTGTAGTGGTACTTTGTTACAACACAGTACTTGCTGTGCTCGTACTACAGACCGTTGTACTCGTACCGTAGCTTGTTAGTACCTCAGCTCGTTGTACAGAAAAGTTATAACTGCCAGAGCACAGCTTGGATCTGTATTATTTGCATTACCAAGCAAACCAATTATATTTCATACAATTTTAAGTAGTTTCTTCTTTCGTGATTCTCAATGGCTTAATTTAAGGTAAATTGGTCTTAATTGCTCTACTGAAAACCCAATTTTTTCATAAACGAAAAGTTTTTTGATATAATAGGAAATTTAGGGAGGTAAATAAACTATTTTCAGGAGCACAACGCTTGGAAACGTATATCAATGTAGAAACAACATTTTCTTGTTGTCTTGTAGAAACAACCTGCTTCTTGCAATCCATACAATGTTTAAAATAGACACGAGTCCTACAAATAGAGTAACATTAGAAATAAAATAATGCGATAGGTTCGAAAGGTAAACTAAATAATTGCTATGAAAAAATTCTCAACCTGATTTTTAACGGCTAATGGAAAAAAAGGCATCATGAATCATATTGATGTGTTAGAAATAAATTCAAGAATCAAATTCGACGATGAACCATTAGTAAGTTAGTTTTCTTATCAGATTCAATGCGTTATAAAAAATAATGTCGCATGCGATTAGTGAGATTAATATCTCAATATTTCAACGACTTAATGGACCTGCATCGACTTACAATAACAGAAAAATAAATATTTTCTCTAATACTTTTTTTAATCGCAAGGTAATCAAGAACATCAAATATAAAAAAACTTCGAACAAATTCACAGTTTTCACGTTTTCGATGAAGACATTTTCTTCATCATATTTTCTAGTATTTCTGTTGCTTTCAAATTCTTGACAATACAACAAGAGGAAATCACGTGGTAAGCAGGATTATTCAACACTAAGCAATACACTTTTCTTCATCAAATTTTCTAGTATTTCCTTTGCTTTTAAATTCTTGACAATACAACAAGAGGAGAGCACGTGGTAAGCAGGAGTATTCAAGACTAAGCAATACACTTTTCTTCATCAAATTTTCTAGTATTTACTTTGCTTTTAAATTCTTGACAATACAACAAGAGGAAATCACGTGGTAAGCAGGATTATTAAACACTAAGCAATACGTAAGGGCTTCTCACCTTAGCGATGTCGAACTGCTGGACAGGTGTGAGCTGTAGACAGGGTCCCGGGAACGCGACCTGCGCTGAACACAGGACACTAAACGACACCACGAGCACAACCGTGCGGGGAAATGTCGACTTGTGCGTTTGTTGCATGACGTTTGTGTTGCGGGACTTGTATTGTCGTTAGGTGTGCTCAGCTTTGGATGATATACAATTTGTTGTTATCTTTCGTAATACTCTATGCTTTGCTGTACTGGAAGAAATATTTTAAAATTAATCCGGCGTTAAGAAATATCTTGTGTTTAATAGGTACTCTGTATTCAAATATTAACTGTACGTTTAAATGAATTATTCTTTATAGTAGGCAAAAATTTCATAAGTAACAAACCCTGGACATTTAAATATATCTTATAAAAGAACATATCATATAAGTTCAAGAAATCTTAGAAAAATTCACACTGACTGCGAGAACTTCAGACTTCCTTCATTTGCTTAATTAATTTAAATTAGTCAAGTTGTATCAACACTAACGACGTAATTTAGGTTAATGATTCCTAAGGTGAGAATTCCATTCTTTTATGAGCAACTATGAACGTCGATTATAACTTCATAACGACTATAACTTCAGTATATTATAACTTCAGTATAACTATAACGATTATAACTTCAGTAACTAACGTCGATTAACTTTTTTATAACTTTATGACTTCGTCGATAAATTAAAGCACTAAATTTTTCACCCTCTGTGGTCGCAACCTTACGCAGTTCTGTCAAGTGATCACAGCTTTGACCGCAGCCGCGACTGCGCAAGTGAAAACGAAAGTAGAATCGAGAAAGTTGCCCAGGCAAAAACTGAGTCCGTATGCCTGACAGTACACTTTCGTAACAATTTTCTTCTTATTTTGTGTTAGTTACTGCAATTGCATTCATTAAATCAGACGATTTCCGTCAGATTATTCATCGGAGTTATGCCATTTCTATTATCTGATAAATCTTTCATAAAGTGTCCTTATATTTGCCAAAGTTAGAAGTTTTCTGATTAAACTCATTGAAGACCTGAAACTTTTTTGAGAGTATTTTTCTTCCGCTTGGGAATCGGTCTTTTCCACAATTAATGACGATGATCAAGCAGGGCGGTGCACTAGCACTAAAGGCCTCCAAATCCAATCAATCACTAAGACAATCTATCGACCAATCAAATGAGCTAACTTTTTTGAGAGTATTTTTCTTCCGCTTGGGAATCGGTCTTTTCCACAATTAATGACGATGATCAAGCAGGGCGGTGCACTAGCACTAAAGGCTTCCAAATCCAATCAATCACTAAGACAATCTATCGACCAATCAAATGAGCAGGCAGAGAGCCAGAGCCAGTCATTGGCTGCCAGTTGAGGCAGCGTGAATAGGTTAAGCCAGAAGTGGCCAGGCGGGAGCATGTGAGGCCAGATGCTGAACTGATTGCTTATGAAAGACAATGCTCATGTATTGACTGAAGATATACGACTCTAATATCTTCAGGCAGTGTGTGAGCGGTCTGGATTAATGTGTTACAGTGCAGTAAAGTTCAGGGCCCCTACTTTCAAAAAAAGTTGAGAGATCGTAATTTCATCAGCCAGTCATTGACGGCCTTTCAAGCAAAATTAACCAATTATTGACAAGAAAATAGAGCGTAAGTACTTACGTTCACTTAGCGAGTTTTGAAAGTATTGCCTCTGGTATGCTGATGCCGGGGCGTTGGCTCCAGCGCTTTTTAAGAGTTGAATTTATGACTGAGCCCTCTGTTCAGCCTTGTCGTAAACGTAAATTAGGATGTTTTTCAGACTAATACCCTATTATTATTATTGTCTTACCAGTACACTATGATACTTTAAAATGAAATAAAATAATATAAAATAAAATGAAATAAAATATAATAATATAAAATAAAAGGATTTTTAAAATAAAATAAGAAATTCAATGCGTAACATTGAAGGCACCGGCCTCTTTAGCAGTATGGTCGTTAACAAGTACTTTTTAAACGCCTATTATTTTATTTATCCTCAAAATCACTGAAACATCTGAAAAAATTTCATAGCTTGAGTACTTATTTTTCGAAAATATGGTAAATGAGAAGAGTTTCTGGGCACGTACATTTTTCATTTAAAGGTTCACTGAAACGTACAAGTTATCTTGAACAAGATTGTGAAATATATGTTCAGGCTTGAATGCGTAGCAGCATATCGAACCTGGTGGAAGTCTAGTAGCTATTTCAAACTATCGTCAGTCTTGAAAAGATACTGTCGAAGGACCTGTTTTTAGATCTCCTGTAAACAAGTCACGAGAAGTACAAGAATCGGCGATCAGGTCTACTCTTAGTGCCGACATCACTATGTTATATGATATGATATGATATAAATTTCTAATATATCTTTCTAGTCAGGAATTTAAAAGTAAAGAAAATAGCCAAAAAGTTCACCATTTCTTTTTGGCTATTTTCTTTACTTTCAAATTCCTGGTAAATTTGCGATTTAAGCAGCCAAGTGATTTTAATATCTCTCTATTCATGTCAGTACAGGTAAATTATTCATCTCTATAACCCGATACGATAAGTAAACTACTAACCGATTGTCTACCATAAGCAAACACGAATAACATAAGGTGAACACAACATATTAATAGACGTGCAAATCCCGCGGCTAGCGGAACTGTTGTTAAAAACTAATTGGGAATTTTATAATCGTAAAAATTTTTTTGGAAAAATTTAAAGTCTGGCTGAACTCTTTTTGCTTACACGTGCGGAACTCGAATTGATGCAACGCTTTTTGTTTTTTTTTTACATTGTAGCCTGGTGGAATTACAGAGATACTAGGTCACATAAGATTATTTTACTGTCGCCACTTTGTAACAGAGAAAGACTTTAATCGTTGCAGTTTTGTTGGTTTCTTTGAACGAAGCCGAACCTGCTGATTTTACGGGAGTCGAAATCTTTGTAGATCGTGTCGATGATGGCTTGTGGCGGCACACGCTCTCTCGTGATCACTCGAACGCTCACTGCAATGTGAAAAAAATTCCTGGATTGTGAAGGATTCTCTGCAGTGTTCGTTATTCAAAGATTTGCTAAAGTAAATTTATAATCAAAATAAAAATGATGCGCAAGATTACTTTCCAAGATGCATATTGATGACAGAAAAATTGTTTTCTGACAAGTCCAGATTTCCATTTTATTTTTAGTTTACACTAATTGCAGTAATTCTTTGGAACAGTCCACTGATTCCAGATCTCCAAGAAAATAAAATTTCGATACAATAGCAGTTAATTTGTTGGTTCAAAATTGCTTCTCAATAAGGTCACTATAGGGAAGAATGTTTCAAGATATGATGTACTATGAAAAAAAAAACGAGATAACGTAACAAATTATGCATAATGCTTAAAAGTTTACCAAAACTCAAATATATTATTTACTTTAATATCCCAAAAGTATTCTTTGATGTATAGTTTCTTATGAGCGGGTCAAACATTACAACTTTAACTTTAACTCATCAAGCGAACCAACCTGAAGATCGCACATCCACTTCATAAATTTTTCAATTTGCATTTTTAAATACTAAGATTACTCAATTAATAATAATAATTCTAAGTACAAATGATATATAAATGATAGCTAGGTTTATAAGTATATCAGGTACCAGTGTGGAATAAAAAGGCGTTGAAGCAGTCCCAGATGATGGCATAGTTTGAGTAGTCGGTGTTAAGGATGTTGTAGTTGGCCGCTGTGACGTTATTTTCTTTTCCATTGTCTGATGTTGACAAATATAGTTCAGAAAATGACACAGATTACTTTTATATGAATGAAACTATGACATGCAGAAATGGCATATCTAAAATAAAAAATCTATATAAGCATGACATGGCACATAATGTCATTCAGTCGTAATAAAAGCATTGGCGTTAAAAAAATCGGAACAAATGAATAATATTAACATATTCTAGGACAGAATAAATATGTTACATAATTATAAAAATGGATATTAAACATCCACTAAATGCAAGCTTTGAAATTAGTCATGCGTACACTGTTAAAAAAATTCCCGTTAACGGTATAACCGGCGTTTCAGTGGCCGGTCGGCACGTGAAAAGAAACACTGTGTCGCCGTTTTTATTCTAATTTAACACTAGAAATCCGTAAAACATCTGAAAAAAACGGCGAAACAGTTTNGGTATTGGCTAGACAGCAGAGAAAACTTTAAACATTAATCAATAATATAAACAGCTACACCAAAAACACTTTAATATAAAAATTTAAAACTCATATTGATGATACGTCAAGACAATTACTCACAAGCGCCTGCCCAGAAGCTGATGGAGTATTTGCCTTCGCTTTTTGATGGGTTAGCCTTTTTCATCTGACCCGTTTTGCATCCTTTAGAAAACCTGCCAGAAAAAATATTTATAAATAAGGTTAAATTAAAAACTTCCCTATTAATGGCAATTCCCAATTCAGGTTTCGGGTCAAATTTCATTCTACTAACTCACACCTCAAATCTCTCATGCATTACTTAATAATATTAGTAAAGTATGAAAAAAGTTCTTTATACGCTTAATATTACTACGTTGTATTAATAATGCCTCAAACATCTCCAGTCAGCTTTTCAGTTTGGCGATTCAAATATTTCAATATTAACAAACTCTCAACACTCCCCTCAGGCTCCAGTGGATCAGTGTAGTTACTCACAATGTATACTCAGTATTAATTAGGCTCTCACCAATTCCATCATTATATCAGTTTAGTTACCCCTCACGTTCCTCATTAATCACATATAACCATCATTCCCCGTCAGTATATCAATTTAGTTACCCACCAGGTTACTCAGGCTTTACTAAGCTTCAAACACCCATGTCACCATATTAATTTAATTACCCACCATGTTACTCAGTATCAACTAAGCTTCCAACACACATGTCAATATATTAGTTCAGTTACCCACCACGTTACTCAGTATCAACTAAGCTTTCAACATACATGTCAATATATTAGTTCAGTTACCCACCAAGTTATCCAGTATCAACTAAACTTTCAACACACATGTCACTATATTAGTTCAGTTACCCACCACGTTATCCAGTATCAACTAAGATTTCAACACACATGACACTATATTAGTTTTGTTAGCCACCATGTTACTCAGTATCAACTAAGCTTTCAACACACATGTCAATATATTAGTTCAGTTACCCACCATGTTATCCAGTATCAACTAAGATTTCAACACACATGACACTATATTAGTTTTGTAAGCCACAATGTTACTCAGTATCAACTAAACTTTCAACGCACTCACATGTCACTATATTAGTTCAGTTACCCACCATGTTATCCAGTATCAACTAAGATTTCAACACACATGACACTATATTAGTTTTGTTAGCCACCATGTTACTCAGTATCAACAAAGCTTTCAACACACATGTCAATATATTAGTTCAGTTACCCACCATGTTACTTAGTATCAACTAAGCTTTCAACACACATGTCATTATATTAGTTCAGTTACCCACCAGGTTACTCGGGCTTAACTAAGCTTTCAACACACATGTCAATATATTAGTTCAGTTACCCACCAAGTTATCCAGTCTCATCTAAGCTTTCAACACACATGTCACTATATTAGTTCAGTTACCCACCAGGTTACTCAAGCTTAACTAAGCTTTCAACATACATGTCAATATATTAGTTCAGTTACCCACCACGTTATCCAGTCTCATCTAAGCTTTCAACACACATGTCAATATATTAGTTCAGTTACCCACCATGTTACTCAGTATCAACTTAGCTTTCAACACACATGTCACTATATTAGTTCAGTTACCCACCAGGTTACTCGAGCTTAACTAAGATTTCAACACACATGACACCACATTAGTTTTGTTAGCCACCATGTTACTCAGTATCAACTAAGCTAAGCACACATGTCACTATATTAGTTCAGTTACCCACCACGTTATCCAGTCTTCGGTGACGTTGATAAGACCGTTCGCTCCCGCTGCGTAGGCGATCTTCGGGCAGCGCGAGAACAGCATGCCAAGGCTGGCGGACTTACCGAACTCGTACCATGTCCCCATGAACTGTACAAAATAATTGCAGGTATAATATTATTTATTATTTTACTCCTATACTTTATCGACTTTAGTCAAGCCCAGTGCATATACTTTAAAATTTTTTCAACATGGTAAAACATGGTTTTAAATAATATTTCAACATGGTTTTAAATAATATTTCTGCTCCTTAAAGAATGTTTAAAAAAATCGCCACAAGTTTTGGTAAATAGTGTTTCAGTTTTGAAAATAATAATTTGACTCTGATTTGAATTGCATGCCTTCTGGAAAGCTATCGTCAATCAGAAGGAACTTACAAAGCTCTAAATACTCGTAAATTGCAAATTTTTTGTACAGAATTTGGCTCTTTCATTATTTGTTCACAAAACTCTACGTACATTTTCACAATTTCTGGAAAATTTTAAATAAGTTAATTGTCTATAGAATTCCTATTTCGTATGTATAAATATGTTACTGCGAGTCAGACGGGCTGTGAAATCTATGGAACGTATTTTCCAATCTAATACTTAATAGAAACATGAAGCTGATAATGATTGGCTGGTACAGGAGCTGACAAGTGATTATCGTTACCGGTACACGAATTTAAAGATATTTGGAAACAAAGCTAAAATAAGTCACTTTATTCAAGTTCATTACCGTAGTTTCAATGAACGGGTCCACCACAGCCTGGCTTGGGCAACCACCGAAGCCGAAACTCGCTTCCACGGGCGCTATATTCATCAGTGCGGCGAACACCACAACACTAACGCTACTCATCATCTTGACACCAGTTGCCAGAACTCGGTATAATAAGAGTTGGATGCGATAAACTTTGCTAAACAAAACGCTCAAAAGATACTCTGAAACGAAAATATAATACAGAAAGACAACAAAATTACTGGTGATATGACCAAAATTTCCTTGCTCTGTAATGAAAAATATTTTTGGTTAATTTTTTCTTCATTTTGTTATATTTTTTAAACAGATGAAACTTTTGGTGAGTAGAAAGCATGGCGATGTCATGTCTCTATCAATTGTTACTTAATAAACTGAAAATGCCAGATACATGTTTCAGGCATCAAGTTATAAAAATAACGCGATCTATAAAAAAATAAAAAAACGACTTTATAATGATATATTCAGGTATGGTAGAACATCTTGCGAAAGACATTGTGGAAGAATCAAATAGCTCTTATAGCAGAATTGTAGATGAGTTTTTCACCAATTTTTTGTAGCAGCTTCAGAATTCTATTATCGTTAAATTTCATGAGAATTTTTCAATTAAAAAGTGAAAATTTAACAATCGAGTTAACCAATTTTTACATAGTTTCTATGCACTAAAAGAAATAAGTAAAAACATTTATAAACGAATGACTAAGATTCAGTACACACGTATTATCACAACTGTTTGAAAAATTTCTACTTCGTAATATATAGCACTTCTGGTATCAACACTGAGTTCAACACTGTGATACGCATAACTCTAATTTATACGTCTTAATTAAACATAAAGTTTTCCAGAACACGAAACTTCTCGATGCACTACAGACTGACGGTGTTTGCGAGGCCTGCACTGAGCGGTGTGACGCAAAGCAATCACCGGATGCACGATGAATAGTGCGCACGATGAACATTCATGATGAACAGGTGTGCTCGGCAACTGTACTGGCTCTAATTGTGCAATTGTTCGTTCGGTTACTGGTATATGATCTGTTCTCTTAATGGGTGAATCATTTTAACGAGGGTTACTAGGGTTACTATCCGTGCGGTAACGAGGGTTACTAGGGTTACTATCCGTGCGGTAACGAGGGTTACTAGGGTTACTACCAGTGCGGCAACGTGGGATACTAGGGTTACTAAACGTGTGGCCTGGCCAACCTTTGATCTTAGTTTCTCTAGTATTAAGTTACCCGACATGATAAATAATTGCAGTGCAACAGCCTCAGTTTCCTACAAAGAATTTATTCTCATCAAGCCAATCAACCAAAAAGCTCGTTAACGCACTGGCAATAGAACCCTAGTTTCGCCCTATATAGTACGCGCATCAAGTTGTTATATATTTAGTTAGAATTGATTCGATCATATACTCAATAATACTTATGTTATCATTTTTAAACGTGTCAGGTTATATTGTGTAAATTTCGTACATTTAGTCTTTTCCCGGAAATGGAAGCACTTGTCACGAAGCGCGTTACTTTCTTTAAAATTAGCGCTGTTGTCACTGATATTATTTTAAAATAAGAGAATATGACTGTTAGTTGTGACGTGGCAGTCGCTGATTCACTGACATTCATGTAAATTAGTGCCAAAAATATTCAAGCATGAATGGTAAAAGCTTATGAATGAGTCACTGATATCCTGATACAACAAATCCAGTGTTGCTCATTGTAATCCGTCGATGAGTTATTGATGTTTCTGCATAGCAATGACGTCAAATATTCTTTTCCATAAAAAGCTTGTCATTGAACGAAGTTTGTTTTTGTAGTTTTTCTTCCGCTAATGGCATGTTTCAGGCGTAATTACTGCGCCTAGTGGCAGTGGACAAACCTAATTGTTTCGCATCCCCACAGTCGTCAATAATCATAGATTAAATTACAACCGAGGCCTACACCGGAACATAGGACCTATTCTATTCATCATTTCGTAGTTGTGATGCTGGAGCGTGATAGATGGTTATAATTTACCTTGACATGGGCAGGGTGGCCCAGTGGTTACAGTTCAGAGTACCAAGATTGACGCACTAGAGAGGCGCGGGTTCGATCCCAGCTCTGTGCGCCAGTTTCTGGTACTGTATCACTAACCAGTGCACTCTCATTACGAGAGCAGTGCACTATATATCACTAGCCACTTCACTCACACATGGTGTCTGGGAAGGACACTCTCAGCTTGGCCTCCTGAAGCTCAGGGTTCACCAGCACAGCCTCTCCCTTCACTCGCGACTCGAACCCAAACCTGCGTACAAACAAATGCTCGACACGTTATTTATTGTATTCATTTCTTTATTAGTAATGAATTTATTTATTCATTTCTTATTATTTATAATAAGTTTTTATAGTTTTGTATTAATTTCTTTATTGAAAATGAATTTATTTATTCATTTCTTATTATTTATAATTAGTTTTTATAGTTTTGTATTCATTTCTTTATTGAATAAAATGTATAAAAAAAATTTTTAAAGACCACGTTTTTCATGTGGACTCAAAAGTAGAAAATAATTTTTCGGCAGCTACTGATCTCTGTTT